AAGGACCTTCTTCATATATGAGCAGCCTCAAAGAGTAAACTTTTTCAGCCCATCACCAGCTCTGCTCTGAAAGCCAGACAAGGCTGGAGACAACTCTAGCAGCCCATTTTCCCCAGCAAGGACCTTCTTAGCAAGCATGAGAATGCGGAGAGCAGCAAACTCACCTGTGCTCTTCCTGGGGTGTTTGGATCTACTTTTAACAAACTTAACAAAAGGGAGTTGGATATGGACCCAGGGAATACCTGCCCCCCCTTGCCTTTACAGAACTGTCCATGGAACACAGACTTAGGAAACCTGCACATCCAAACACCTCAGCTGAGATCAACGTGACATCCCAGCTTAATTATCTCTGCCAAAAGGTGGATCCAAAAACCCTCAGGATGCAGAAGTTTGGGAATGTCAGAGCAAAGGCTGGGGTGGGAGGATGCCAGCAGCACCCTAAGAAATCTTTGTTTATTAAACAGCAAGTGCACAATCACACCTGCCACCAAGGGCTTTATAAATTCAGTAACTGCAGTGTCTACATCCTCTAGCATGTAAGACCTGGCCATTAGGAGAGAAACCCTAACTCTTGGCCCTTCTAATGCTTGCCTTTCTCTTCAGCTGCCCCAGGCATCAGCAGGCTTAGCTTGGACTTCCTTATCTCTCAAACAGAAACCATCATCACAGGGGATTTTTGGCCACAAAACTGCTACAGGAAATGGCTGACTACAGTTGTCTCACTCACGAGCTTGGGACAGTGTCAGATATGAAAGCAGGCCTGGCCAAGCCACCCAAATCACCTGGGGATGCGCTGGGGCAAGAGGAGGGGCACAAATAGCTTTTAAAAATATTTTGTTTTCTCTCTGCAACCAGAAAAACAATCAATCAGATGCCCTTTTAAAAGAGATGTGTTGTGTGTTTGATTAAAAAAGGAACAGTAGTAAAAAAATATATATATAAAGCATTTTTAATGAGCTTAACAGTAGTTGGTTCGATGTGGAAGTGACAAAGAATTTGGGGAGAAAAGGAAGTGGCAAATGGTTGCCAAGAAAGGCAAGTCCTTTGCTTCATACGCCTTTTCATGGCATAACTGCTGTCAGGCAGGGATTACATGCAGGGCTTATCTCTTACCCACCTGCGTGTGAAAAATCACACATACATAACTTCCAACCCCCAGCCTGTGCTGTTCCCCTTCCCAAGGACCTGAGCACTCCTACTGCAGATCTACCCTCAGCTGCCTTTGGGCAGATCCGCCACTCATGGAGGAATCCCACCACAAAGACAACACCAGAAATGCCTCTGGGCACAAACAGCAGTGGGTGACAGCCAACGGAGGCTCCCCTGAGCCACAGGGGAGTGAAACACCACAGACCAGCAAGAAACACCATGCTATACCCTTTTCCCAGGTGCATGCAGAGCCCGTACTCCTCTGTCGAGGCAGGCAGCTTCATGACTTGGTGGGAGAGCTTGCACCCCACTGTGTCAGCATGCTTGCTTTTGGGATGCAAAGACTGCGGCAGGAACCCGAGAAACAAAAAGCTTCACCTTACCCAGCTCCTGCGGAAAACAAAACACTCTGGAAAGGTAGTTCATCTTATGAAAGTGAGAGACTCAGAAATAGCCACAGGCAGAAGGCGCTCAGTTTTATTTCTGTACAGAACAAAGCTAACCTCGCTCTCTGCAAGGCTTTGTAGCGAGGTGGGAAGTCCTGCCTGCATTAGCCTCTCAAGCCAGCCCACACCGAAAACTGTCTGTGCTTCCCCCCCCGCCCTCCTCCCCCCAGCTTTCCTTCTTATCTTATCTGCAAGTGACAAAAGCCACACAACTCAGTAGTTGACTGAAATTCAACACCTTCGGTGCACCAACAAGACCTGGGCTTTGTGGTCAAAGCCAGGTCAAATCCTGAAACTAGCCCTGGCTGGCATTTACACCAGAGCTGCTCCCTTCCTGCAAAGGGGTAGGTTTCCTCCCCGTGCTTTTTATTGCAGTGACAACAGGCACAACTAGTTGGGACTTAAAGAAGGGTCTAACTTTCACTTGATCCTGGTATTAAAGAGCCTGGCCCTCCTACTGCAACACCTCTCCTAGCATCTAGCACACCCCAGTACCCAAGCAGAGAACATTGATCCCAGATCAAGCCAGGTGTGGGTAAGGAATGAGATTGACCTGAAATAAAAGCAGAAAAACCCAAAAAGGCTGTTCCTGGCACTGCAAGCAGGGAAAGAATGAAGAGTAGCTCAGGAACACAGTGGTTAGTGGGGAAGCTTAAAGAGCATAGAGACAAGAGTCTGGCTCCTCTCCTCCTCCCCGCGGCTGCAGAGGCTCTGGAAGCATTTGTGTTGCCAGGAAGGCAGCAAGAATAGGCAGCTCTTTCCTGTTTCAGGCAGTGTAGTCTACTGCAGACATGTGCTCCTCTCTGCCAATGGCTGCTTGCAGAAAGCTGGTCCTGTGTGCAAATCACCTCCCCAGCCCCATGGGATAAGAAGATGGCCAGATACACAGCAAACACTTTGTTCCACCTTTATTTTAACAATCAGATAAAAACAGAACCGTAGCTTTAAAAGAGTCATTACATGGCAATTATAAAGTGCATTTTCCACTTGAATGTTGTGTACAAAAATATCTTTTAAAAACAAACATGCAAAACACCCCACAAGGCACTTCCAGGCATAGAGCAAGGAGACCAACCCCTCACTTCTATGTTCACATTGGCAATGGAAAAAGGGAAAAGGGGAAAGGCCACAAGTAGTATTTTTAAACCACTATTGGTCAAATAGTAATTTCCCAGCCTAGCTTTTACTTATGGCATTGCTCTTCTAGCTTACCTTCTGTGTTCCTCCCCAAGCACACCCCATCCACAGCCTGAAAACAATCAGGCCCATAAGGAGATACCACCATCCACAGCACCCCAGACATACATGCCTTGTTTTGGCCCACAAACAGCTCTCCATAGGCATGACAGCATGCCAGGAGAACAGGACATTTCTACAGTCAGTGTCTTACAGCATTAACACCATACACTAAATAATAAAAATAATCAGTGTCACTCAGACTTAAAATTTAAAACCAGGTTCAAGCCAAAGCTAGGCAATAGTCCCTTCAAGAGACACCCCATGCAAGTTCTAAGGGCTGACTTGGGGAGTTGCTGGAACAGAGGAACCAAGCCTGATGAGCTCTGGGCCAGCAAGCAGATTTACCACCTGGACTAAGTGATCAAGCACAGCTATGACATGCATTGATGTTGTGTTTCAAAAAAGCAGCAGCTGAAGGTTAGCTATTCTTCCTGCAAGCTCTACTTGTCCCTTTCAGCATCCAACAGTGATCATAGTATCCCTTCTCAGTTAGGGTAAAACAGCTAGTAAGTATTTTATACAGTAGCCTCCAGAATTAAAAGCTAGATTTAAAAAGTTAAGTAGTCTAGCCCTTTGCTTCTCTACAGCCCACCCATAGGCTATTAAGGCACCCAAAAAATTATATGAAGCTTATGCACTAGAAAAGTAAGATCTCCTTGACTTCTGTTTCTACAAACTATTCAGCACTTTCCCTTTGAGCTGCAGGATTAAGTTATTCTGCTCAACCAGCACACAAGAAGCTTTTGTGAGGCTGTTTGGCACTGCACAATCTGGCCACCTCACCTCAGCGCAGGTCCAGAAGACAAGCCACCTCTGAAGATAGGGATGGCTCACAACAGCAATTCATTCCACATACAGGGGTGGTGTCTGGATAACCCCACATCTCATGCTCCTCACAGGTGGGTGAGACACTTCTTATGGACACAGAGAAGCAGTTTGGGCATTTACAGGTTGAAATGGCAGCGCAGCTACTGCTTCAACAGCACTGGCAGCCCAGCATGTTGATGTTCACCCAGTATGGCCACAGCATCCTCACACATGAGCAGTGCCACACCATGAGCTGCCAAGCAGTTCATGCCACAGAGTAAAAAAAAAAGAAACTATTAGGAGATCTTTTTTTAAGAGCAATGCCATTTCCAAAGCCTATTTATCCCAAAGCATTGCTGGGGTTGCACACACCACCCCTTTCTCAGTCAAGGCACTTCCACCACAATAGGTACACAATAGTCACCTTCTTTAACAGGACACAGCACAGAGTAGCCATGGTCTATTTGCATTTAGCTCCTGTAACACCTGAGCACAGCCTCCTGCACAGAACTCAGATCCCCAGCTGGACAAAACCCTGTTTTACAGTTCACAGGAGGAAGAACTGCATTTTCAGGACCCAGCATGGCCAACAGTTGATTTTGATGATGCTTTTTCCCCTTGATGGACATCTGATCACTTGCAATTAAAGAAACAGGAAGGTTTTGAAGAAGGCAGTCAAGGCTGTCAACCCACAGCTGTGTTAGAAGTACCACACAGCTACAGCTAACCTATTTTTGGTAACACCAAGGGTATAATGAGAGTTTTTCAAGATCAGTTGATATAACTGCTGGTGACTAGGCATATCAGATCCTCTCCCACAGGCACTATGTCTCCTAATATGGCAGGCTGTAGGGCCACATTTCCTGTCACCACAGTTGCATTTTCATTTCCAAAACACCCTTTATGCCTCCAGTGGGAACGATCTCACACTACAAGGACATGTGCAAGGAAAAGACTCCATTCCCCACAAGCCAACCACTCCATTTCCCAACAGGCCTGGGCCAGCTTTGCAAGGAGAACCCTGCAGCTGAAGTACAGCCCACTAAAAATATAATACTAGAACATATTTTGAAAAAGCCTTTTAACACTAGGCAAGCAATACAAACCAGCCACCACTACATAGCTTGGACAGACGATATAAGCACTGTAGTGTTTCCCTGGAGACTAGCAGCTTTATAGAAGAGGAAAGAGTTGCAGCACTGAAGAGACACACAAGCAACAGCTCCTGGTCCTTTGAGCATCCAGAGAGCCAAGTTATCAGAGTTGGGGCAGGGAAGGCAGCCCTTTATGCCAGAGATGCTTCCCTGACTATAAGGCCACTGCCAGCAGTGCACTGCACATCTGGTTTTTGCTGGGAGGCTTATGCAGAGCTACACAGAGCCATTCTTCTTCCACTTTTCTGTACACCTCACATTCAGACCAGCTCCCAGGCCTGCGGACACGCCAGCAATAGTCAGTCAGTCAGGACTTAGTCCTTGGGTCAATAGTAAGGCCCTAGCTTCTCATAGCCTGAATAGCTGGGCCACTCGGGAAAGAGGCCATAGGAGCACCGAGGGCTCCCAAACTGGTCAAAGGAGCTGCCAAAGTCAGGGCCCCGCGGGGGGTGGCCGGCTTCCTGGGCAGACTTCAGTTCTGATCGTATGATCCTGTAATTTGTGCCCCTGTTGCTGTCCCAGTACACCTTCCCATTACACTCAAAGGAGATGGCAAACTCAACTCTTTCGTGGGATTGAATTCCCTCGGGCAAGCTGATGTCAAAGGAAAATGTGTCCCGATCTGACCCTCCATACATATCCTTGACATACTGGCATGGGTAATCTACAAAGTTTTTCCAGGTGTCAAATGTCATCCTGATTTTCACAGTCTTTTCAAAAGCAAGGTTCTTCACCTTCACTGTTCCCACAACGGATCGCTCCTTCAGCATACAGTTTTCAAGGCAGACACAGTCTGCCTGGAGGCGGTTTCTGAAGTCCAGGTAGTCCACAGAGGGCTGAACAAAATCCAGGACAAAGCTGTCCCTCTCCACTGTTGTCAGACCTACAATGTTGTCTATCAGCTCGGTGATGTTGAAAGGAATATCTAGTGGATCGTCAAACTCCGAGAATACCTTCACCATCGTCAGAGCAAAGCCTCTGCTATCGGCAAACGACACCCTCTTCTTCACTTTGTTGTGTGCGAAGGAGTTTGCTGCCTCTTCTGGTCCATTCAGCACAGTTTTGCTACTCAGCTGGATGCAGGGCCGCAACGGCTTGCTTGGCTTCGGAGTAATTTTGCAGGCACACTTCTCTCTTCGCAAGGGTGAAGAGCATAGGTAAAGCTGCATTGCTACATCCACAGCCATTGCTTGTTTGTGAGGAAAATAGTCTAATACTCTGGAAGATGACAAGAAGGGTCAGTTGATGTTAGAAAAGCATTTTAATGTGACTTTTGTCAGACAACTGCTACACCACTTCCCCCAGCCATCCCAAAGAAACTTGCTTCCATCAACCCCACAAGTCCCTCAAGCTTAACTAAAGGCAAGTACTTGCATAGTGCGATTTATTTACAGACACACTGAGAAATGTGCTACAAGCACAAGTGGCAGGACCGCAGCCTGTTGTGCCCCTGAACAAGATCTTGTTCCAATTGCTACAGGGACAGTCACCATTTGAAGACACGCACAGGCACTGCCCTAATAGACTAGCAATAGCAGGCTCCAGAAGATTTCTGGACCAAAGCAAAGCCCACAGCTCAGTCCTGCTGATGTCCACAAAACCCAGAGTTTATCAAATTTCAGTGCTACGTAAAGCAATATTCCTGTTGTGCTCCCCTCCCTCTGGGAGAGGCTCTCCCCAGGGCATCTGATGCTTTTGTGGCAGGAAGAACTCAGTTTGTCACAAACTGCTGTACACAACTGACCTCACCTCTCACAAAACCCCAGATGTCTGGTATTTTTAGAGGCTAAAAGCACTTGCTTAGTTAAGCTACATACTTTGTCTCCCAGAACTCCATCTAAAACACCTGCAAGTGGTATTATAAGGATAGCAACAGTCTGATACAGCAGCAGGGTAAACATTTAGCTGACATTGCTCCATATCTACAGAGGAGCCTCTTTCTTCCCTCTACTGCACTTTAAAACAGATGTCAGCTCAGATGGCCCAGCAGGTTTTACCTCCAGTGCAGAGTTCTCGCCTCAAGCTTCCACAGCACTTGCACTGAGCCCCTGGGAAACACCCATACAGGGCTCTGCCAAACACAACTCACAGCTGACCAAGCCTTTGGAAAAAAGTCCTTCCCCCAGAAGGTGCAGGCTGTGTGCCCCTCCACCACAGCCTCTCCTCCTCCCGTGCCCAGGCCATTCCTCCAGGTATGCAGATCCATCCCTCCCTGTGCACCCACTCTAGGGCAGCTCCCACCCAGCACCTTGCTAGATGTAGCCCTAGAGTTGCCTTTGCAGCCAGGCAGCTCCTAGAATGCCATACCTATCACTCCTGTGCTTACCCTGAGGTTAGGCTGGATGCTTTTGGCAGAATCTGTTTGACCTGGCTCTGGATAAATCACTGGACAAATCTGTCACACACAACCCCCTTAAGTCAACTACATTACAGCTGACCTTAAACACAGAGTATTCCCATAATAAAAATCCTGTTTGGCTGCAGACCAGGCTCCAAAGCTGGTCCCACCACAGAGGGCAGGGCAAGCCAGCAGCGGTAGCAGCAGCCTCCGGCCATGTGATGCAGCAGAGCTGTGGCTGGCCAAGCCACGCACAGCCAGCTCTAGTACTGGATCGCTGCCCCCGTGCCAAGAAAAAGCAAGAGCTACACTCTCCAATTCAGTGCTTTAACACCCCACCCTGCAACACCAACAGAGCAGCTCTGAGCAGGCTTTCACAGCATCCATTCAGCAAGGGCATCTGTTTATTCAGAGCACATGTGCCAAGGCTTGCTTCCTAACACACCCACCAGCTAACTCCTGCATTGCCTCCTTCAGCCTCCTTTCAGCTCAAGGGTAGCTGTACAAGACAGACAGCAGATCCACCTGTCTGCTAATATTGTTCTGCTCATCTCTACCTGGTTTTGCCAAGTTTTTATTCAAGCATTCTTTATATAGGTCATTTCCTCCTTTAACTTAATGCAACCTCCAACACTTCTCTCTTACTTGGGCCAGTTTCATCTGCATTGCATCTTTTCCCAGGGAAATTTATTCAGCTGAGTTCCCCTAACTGCTGAGAACTCAAGCCTTGGTTATTCATCATTTTTAGAATGAAGAGGCATGAAATATCCAACCTGATTTGCATTACTTGGAGCTTTTTTCCAAGAACTACATTAAGAGCTTTTCATACCTACTATTAGGCTGAGCAGCATGCTTTTACAAACGTTCCCAGCTCATTTGATACGCCAGACATCTCTTTTTGCTCTTGAGAGCCTGCTGATGCTCAACCCTCAGCCAGATGAAGGTTTCCATTTTGGAGCTAGTGTTGGCCACCTTGAACTTCAGATGCTTTGAAGGCAGGAGCAGGGAAATAGCTTTGAGAACTCATACAGGAAAGGAAGCTCTAGGAAGCAAGCGGTGCAAGGCAGGCATCCCTACATTGGCCCCCAGGTATGGGGGCCAATTCCTTTCCCCCTCCTCTCAAAAGGAAGAGGAGAGACAGATCCTGCCTCTGGACACCTTTCCACAACTTTAGCCTCTCCAGAAGAGGATGTCACTGCTCACTCTTCCCTCCGTTACTTCTAGGAAGGAGAAGCAGGTCAGAGGAAAGGAATTACTTACACCTACATTCATCAAAACCCTTCAACAGCCTCCATTCCGCTTCCAGCACTGTTTTGAACAGGTAATCCTCCTGCAGAGGGCTGGACACCCAGCAGCTGCAAAGCCACAAGTTTTTTGACGCGAGAGGCCGCTGAATGAAGCCGCGTTCGGCTTATCTGCCCTCCTCATCCCTCCGGTTCGGAAAGGCCGAGCTGTTCCGAGGGCACAGCCCAGCTCCCCCAGGCATTCCCCCGAGGCGTGGGCGAAGCGCGAACCGCTACAGCCCCTCTCCGCAAGCAAAAGCGGCGCTG